CAAACGATACTGGGGAGGGGGAAGGATGTAGAAAATGGCATGTCAGCTCCACTATCTTCAATTCCAGCGAGAGCTGATGGGTGCGTCCGCTTTCAGTTAACCCGTGCTCTCCGAATTCTCATTCTTCGACAACACTCGAGAGAAGTCTCCCACACTCAGTCCGTGAACCCGCACTCCTGATATATCCCAAAACTGCACTACACCCTCTATGAAGACGACATCATTCTGTGGATTATCCACACTGGTAATTGCGACATAAAGCAAAGGTTAGAAACCACCGCTAAGAGCAGGCCGCAACGCGCATAAAGCATTGGTTTATCCGGTTCCCCGAAATATCTGAGCTACTTCTCAAACGCCGTTCACCACATGCTCTTTCGACTACTCCCCACTATCGTTACTCTGACCGGTACACCTACTCCGGAGGTGGACACACTCCGATTAAATGACCTTCTTATTCAAAACAACGGCCACAACACTCTTACCATCCGGACATTCTAGCAGTCACGGAAGTGCTCCCGCTCTTTCGTCCGCAGAATTTCTGGCAAGCATTTTGGCAGATGCCGACACAGTTCCTGTCGTCTCATTCATGTCGTCATACTTAGCCGGTCCCTTTATACAAACACGTATTTGCTCTTTCGACCAGAAAAAAAGTAGCCACTCTGGAAGCCTAGAAGGTGGTTCTACACTTCCCCCTTAACACGCAAACAGGTAAACTACCGCATCTTGGGCTCCATGAAATCACACACGAACTCATAAAGCCTACAGACAAGTCCTAAATTCCCGTCTAGCTCACTGTAATCAGGCACTATGAATATATTATTACCTTCAATATTCGCGTACTAACAGGGGATCCCACACTTTCGCCAGTCCTCCCACTGATAGACACACCGCTCAACATAAGAACTTTCCCCATAAAAAATCCTAATGCATACCAATCGGCCCTCCGCAAGGCCCGTGCAAAAGCTCTTCACATTCGATTGCGAAGACGACTCCATAAGGGGGATGCAGCTTCTACGGGCAACGACGCAGAAAATGTAGTCACTTATCGTATGGTTGAACTCATCGCAACTCTCTGTCTTTCTCCTGCATCTACAGCAGTATTATCTGAAGAAGCGGTGATCGAGCTTATACGGAGAAGTGACAACTCCTTCCCCTCTTTCTTTCCCCTCTTTCCTGAACTCTTTACCCCTTCTCGCTACGCCCCTGTGCATCGCTGTCTGGAAATATAATATAGTGATATATCGTTACTTGAAAACAGTGACTGACATGCTCCTCTACTTCGTCAGTTAAGTGCAATGCAGTAAACGAAAATTTCGCCGTTTAACGCGCTGCAGATAAAGGAACCACCCAGCTGCCTATAGTTCATGTTTACAGAGTGCTTCACTTGGTTCAGTGCAAGCAATAGGCTCGAGATGAGCCAATTCCCGCTCATCTCATTAGAATTTTCAAAAAGCTGGAGAGGGCTTTTTTTCGGTAGTGGCAAAAGCAATCTCCTGAAAATTGATAAAATGAAAGACTTGACGGTTCTCTAGTAGTCAAAGTGAAACAAGTCAATTAAATGTACGTTATGGTCTTCGCCAACGACTTTCGTATTAGGAGGGTTAGGAAGTATGTGACACGATTAGGTATAGCTAGCAGGTCAGTTCACCTAATTCATGTCATTGTGGCAAGGTACTAAGCGAGGATAGTGCTAAGTTCACATTTCTCAATGAATTATTTAAATCGATCTTCTGTTCTCCTACACAAGTTATTGTTTGCCAATAGAAAAGAACAATGCTTGTCCATGGGAGAAACAAGTGCTTTCAATTAGAGGCGTCTTTGAATTGTTACAACACCACAAAACATATCACCCAGACTTTCAAAACGCTCTTCTAAGACAGGAGCAAGCTATCTTTGTGTTATATATAAAAAATCACCTAACGACTGGAAGGCAGGTAATCTTGTGCCCATTTTCAAAAAGTGACTCTAAATATATGTACACAATAACAGGCGTATTCCTCGTCAGCTTTACGAAAATGGTCAACAGATTCAGGAATCATCATGTTTCCTACAATAAAGTTGATAGGGCACAAGAGAAATACGAGTATTTGAATTTCTTGCTTTCAGAGCAGTTCGTAATGAGCGAGCCACATCAGTACCGCTGTCAGCATAGCTAGAACAGCCCTTCGCTCTTTTATAAAGAATGCCCTAAAGATGTGACTACAAAAGTGAAACAGGGCACAATACACGCCTACGTTAGAAATGCACTGCAGTATATCAGTTGTGTGTGGTATCCGTTTAACAGGGTACATATTCATGCACTTGAGCTGCAGTTAGTTGATCGCTGCCAGATGCTGGGGAAACGTGACTAAGCTCGGAGCGCGTGATATATCAAGGCCTTAATTGAAAATCTTACAAGAGCGAGGAGCTAATGTAGACACACAATTCACTAAATCGCTTAGCGGACAACATATAAGAATGTTTGACATCATCTAATACCAGGTAATTATTAGTACTCTTGTTATCATAAGGAATTGATAGGGACACAAATGAGCAAGATAAATTTTCGCAAATCAGTGAAGTACGTACAAATTGAAAAAAAATGAAAACACTACTCTACCACGACACGACGTTGAAGAAGCGAGAAAACATGGGAAAAAATTTGGGTGGCGACGTCTGCTTGAGATTCAGCCTCGCAGCAAAAACCAGGACATAACAAATTTGATGTCTACTGGACAATACGTAGCTTACAATCGGTAAAAATGAAGTACGTTGTAATCTGTGGGTGCCATAGACTCAGCATACGAGTTATAACAAACTGAGCGATCATTTAGACTCCAACCGAAAGCTTTTAAGAAACCCGACGTTTCAAAGCCGATTTGGTTCCTTCCTCAGGGGGGACTGTGGAGACTACGTGGCAGCGGCGTCTTCAAAGCTCTTGTGAGGCGGATAATGACCCCTCTTTCTCTCCCTCTCTCTGTTTCGCCATGAAGCGCAGTCCATGTGTATACACCGGGGGAAGGGTTCTCAGAGAGCGGTTGATGTTAAGGGCTGTCCTCTGTATGTGCCATGACTCCAGTAGTAACGTGGAAATATATCAGCGGACACGGTAGAAGGAAAAGCACTTGACAGGAAAGACGCTCAACTTACAACTAAACTTTTATTGGAACGCATTCATTGCACGAGAACACAAACGCGCAGACACAACCGAATATCGCTTCAAGGTGCCACACTCTCGCTCCCCCACAATAAAAGAAGGTATACGTTTATCTATTTCAACAGCTCAAAAGAGACACCTCTCTTTCACTTACTGCTACCGAAAGAGCACTGATGCACGTGCTTGCGTTCGCCCTAATCCGTTCTGCTTCCATAATTTCTCTGGTCAATCTGTGTTTATATTCGCCCAGAATTCTGGTGCTGCCGAAATTCGGATTGCACACACAATCCCTGCAGTGCATTGACACATTATGTTCTACCAGCCGGCGCAGCATTCCACTTTATGGAATAATACCCTTCTTCTCCCCACAAAGAGCGCAGTGCAGTCGCCGAACATGCTGAGACGTTCAATCACAAGATAAATTTCGAAGCGATGTTCATCCTTGATAGCGAGCCGAACGGAAGGAGAAGGTTATTACTCGAGTCGTGGCACGTACAGAGGGCAGCCAATAACATGAACCACTCTCTCTCAAAACACTTCCACTGGTGCAGACACATGGACTGCGCTCCACGGCAAAACGAGAGCGAGAGAGAGGGGTTGTTTCCTGCCCCGCGAGTGCTTTGAAGACGCCGCTGCTATGTAGTCTCCGCAGCCACCCCTGAAGAAGGTACGAAGTCGGTTTCGAAACGTCGGGTTTTTTCAAAACTTTTGGTTGGATTCTCAATCATCTCCCAGTCAGACAGAGCAGACAGACTTCTGTCGAATGTTTACATTCGACATTTAAGAAACTTTCTTGACTCATCGCCACAAAAAAGTAAAATACATTTTCAAAGTTTTGTCGGCCCGCGTGCAGTATTTGGCGCTAAATTTTAAAATGAAATTTCATGCCTGATTTTTCTCCGCAAAAATCATTTATGATAGTAAAACATTTCGTAGTAGAGGTCGCAGAGTGTATCTTGTCACTACGAAGCAAGTCATTATTCCTTTCTAGTGTCTCTTAAATGTACGGACATGTACAGCCACGGCAACGCCTGTGTAGAGCACGCGAGCCATTGGTTGTTGCTCTGGGGCAAAAAACCTTGAGGGAGTATCAGGCTCTGACGTGGCCAACCTGACAACTAGAACAGGCAATCTCCTGATACATCACTTAAGAGCCCAAAGGTGCCTCAAGCTTTTGCGCCGCCGGGCAAAAACTGGCTGCTCCCGTGGTGTACACAGACGTGGCAGCGCCTTTTTTTCCTGGCTACTTTTTTTGTTTGGTTGGTGACAACTTTATGGGTATCCCGCCAGAGCTTTCACCGACCTTGCCTTAAGTCATCCACGTGTATGTGTGGATGCCAAGGCCTTGCCTTGCTTCATCGCCACGTCACGGGCCTAGTAGAAGGCCCAGAGTAGGTCGCCGACGCTGGGGCTGCACAAGGCAACTGCTGAACGCAGTGACGGAAAGGTTCTGGATTTAGCCCTTTGCGGGTCTTTTGTACAATACCAAACCACGTCAGTTAAATGTGGCGGCCTCAATATGGCAGATTTTGCATATATTTGTCGGATATGCATAGGGGTAAAGTTTGTTGCACAGTGCATGAGGGGTTAGTGCGTCTGCAGTTGTCGTACGGCCACCACCTGTGTCCAGTTCATCTTGTCGCTGAGCGTATGAAAGTGTTGGTTGAGCAGGTAGAAGGCGGTGGCGATTTCAGACATTTTTTTTCTCACTAGTGATTGCCGAATGAAAGATGTTACCAGCCGCTTTGGTTGGCCGCAAGATTATCAATTCATTCTATAGGTACGGTGACCCCATTATGGTGCTCAAAATACTTCAGGGACTCTTTCCAAAAACTCACATCTATGCCCTATGTTTTCCTTTCAGCCTTTGATTTTATCGCAGCTATTTGTTGAGAAAGTTATCTCCCGGCTGAAATGCTCGACCTGGACATATACACTCGTTGGGTACTAATTAGCACGGCCACATTTCTGCTTTCGTGGATGCTTTTATTTCGCCGATTGTTTGGGAGAAGCTGGCCTCCAGGTACCCGGCTACCTCCCTCAGTTCCTGGCGCCTCTATCACTGGACACCACGAGATGCACAAATATGACTTTTTCTGCACTGCGGCCATGAAGTGGGCGAGGCAATATGGGCCTGTGTACAGGTAATGAACTCTATAAACATAACTATGCATTCATATTCTCATCCCATTAGGCGGCAATAAAAAAGAGAGAAATAAAGATCACGTGGTACGACGGACTGCTTCAAACTGTCGCTTACCAAAACACATAATGCCGAAAATAAAAAATTATCCTTGCACTCTGTACGTGTGCTCCTTATCTTATCCACGTTTTTTCGCTGCACTCTGCGGTAACGTAGTATAAACTCCCCTAGCGAGCCCCTGTTCTGGAGCTCCATTTGATGTTCATTTGACTTCATTTCAATAGTGAAAAAAATGTCTATTTTCTTAATAGCTTTAGGCTAGATCCAGACAATAGGAGATATTTGGTGCATCACGCCGGAACAGCAAATACTGAAAGTACTGTGTATTGGTGTAAATGTTCGCTAAGCTTTCACCGTGACTTTTTCGAAAGCTCAATGCATGAAAAGACTGCAAGAAGAAAACATCTTAATGTTACGATATAACAAGAAAGAGCTAGATTTGGCGCCCATGTGTGCCTAGTACTAAGAGCTACGCTGTCGTGGCGAAACGTTGCAGTGAATTTATCACGCATTTGCGCCTGTAATGCAGTTCTCATGCCTCATAAGTCGAAGAAAGTTCCTGGATACTGGTGCTATATACGCTATGTTCTTATTGGTGATTTTTCTATGTAGGCACCGTTTGTCTGAGTATATATTTAACCATTGTGTATTTCCTAAAGATGACCCTAATGAAAAAATTGAAGTTTTTGGCTCAAATGAGTTTTAGAAAATGCACAGAACAACCTCTCTACAAACTGCTCGTGTCGAGTACACTGGGGTTTACTCAACCAGCTGCATGTGTAAAGTTATCTTGCTGACGACAGGAACAGCATTTAACTTTAGTTTCGCTTCACCAGCTTGAGCATAAGTTGTCACTTTTGTTTCACACAGATTAAGGCAGAACTTTGCCAGCATCGTGATTCTCAACGATTTTGATAGCATCAAGAAGTTCTATTCGAGAAAGGAGTTTCTCAACCGTTCCCGGTTCTGGGTCATGAAATCCGATCGGTACGAAGGTACGTACTCTAAACAGATACATGCCTGCACTCAGCTCTATTGAAGTGACGACCAACTTTGGGAAGAAACGTTAAACCACACTATAGTACTAGCTCAATTGAACTTTATCAGTGAAGCTTGATATCGCTAAGATACGGGATGTCGTGATGTTAGCGAGAAATACATCCAGTTCCTTCGAATTCGTTTCTTTTGGAGCACGGTAAACGCAATCACCCGCCATCTGACCTCCCTGCGTAGGAACACCTGCGAGTCTGGGCAAAAGAGAAGAGATTTTAAAATAATCGAGAAAAGAAGCAAGGGCAGTCCGTTTTGACAAAGAGACGAGTGACAGTTTTCTAGAAAAACGCTGTACGACCAAAGCATTAGTGCTTAAAAGTGAACCCGGCTTCTAGGGCATTGAACATTGTTTGGAAATTTAGTAATGAAGAAGCCAACTCAAGAAGTCGCGCAAGGCTGAGCAGCAATAGAGCTGACGAACAGCTGCGTGTTCATGGCTTGGCAAGACTTTTATCTTCTCAATACTTGCTGTTTATTTTTTTATGCCTGAATCTCCTTCTTTCCATCTCAATGGTTCTCTGTGCATTTTTTCTGTAGTTTTATTTTTATCTCAATCTTCCCTCTCTTTCTCTCCATTTTTTAATTTTTGCTATGCCTTTCTCACTTTCGCAGTCGGCATTGTCGCCCATTTTATCATTTTCTATATGTGTACATCGTTCTTTCTATGTATTTTTTCTTTAATGTATTTAATGTCATCCGCTCCTGTCCCTTTTACTCATCCTTGCTATATTATGCTCAACAGGGCTATGCTTTCTTCTGCTAGCGTGTAGGAATAGTCGAGTGCTTACGACGATTGCCTTCGAATTGTTTGTAAGGGGGTACGAATCTCACCTAGCAAAAAATTTCGCTCTCCCAAATCTACTTTTTCATTTCTGTCACTCTCTTGGTGTGTGTGTGTGTGGTGTGTGTGTGTGTGTGTGTGGTGTGTGTGTGTGTGTGTGGTGTGTGTGTATGTATTTGTAGTCGTTCTCTCGAACGTTGGAGTTATTGGATGTCACATCGTACAAGAGACAGAGATGCAGAAGAGCACGAAAATGAAGGAGTAGGCGAATAGAGCACGTCCTGCCTCATGATTAGAATAATTTTGTGCGTGCTTTGCGAGGAATTGTCACGTAACGTCCGCCTCGAAGGCGGCTTCGTCAATGTGTCATGGTTGATAATACAGTGGAGTTTTGACAATAATGATAACGTTCACAACACGCTCTTTCGACAAGGTCACCACCGGTATGTACCCTTTGTTTCATGGGGTGGAAAGTTTCAGCGGCAATTCGCTTTTAGAGAGTGGAATGTGACTTGAAATTGTTGCAAAGGTGCGCGCCATTCAAAGTGCGCGCCATACAAAGTGCGCGTTGAAGCTAGACAACGACGAAGGTAGCACGAGCGTGAGTAGCGTGGGGGCGAAGGTTACGAGAAGGAACGAGGAAGACGGGGGCTCTCGACGCGGCCGTTGGGTTCCGGACCCGAGCCTAGTAACAGGTCGAGCCCGGCCTAACTGCCCACGTTCTACCTGCCACTGGCCGTGCGTCGCTGACGTGCTGCGGCTTCAAGGCATCCTGTGCTTGACGGACACGCGGAGCTGTCGGGCTACGGGCACGAGTTCCAGCAGAGGTGTCCGGCCGGGACGCGGCCGGTGGTAGTGCCTGGTCTACCGCGCCAACGGGTCCATCTGGTCTACCGTGCGAGCAACGCGGAGCTGTCGGGCTACGGGCTCGAGCTCCAGCAGATGTGTCCAGCCGCGACGTGGCTGCGGGGGCGGAGCCTACCCATCAACTAGTCGCCTGGTTGACCGTGCGGACAACGCGAGCCAGCTCAAGACGTAGCAACGAACCTCGGTGAGACCGACCTCATGTCTTGTGTCCATGTAAAAGGAGGGACGGTTAGTTTAGGACTTTGATAGTTCACAGAGACAGTGAAGGATTCTTTAAATAGCCTGTCCATGTTATGTGTGTTCGTTTTTCGTGTGTATAAAGTGTGGCGTACAAACGGCCTCGTCTTTTCGTGGGAGTCTGGGGCGACGGCTCGGACACCCATTAACTAAGAACCTGCACGTTGCTATAACACCCACTGCAATGTAACACTGGCGTCCGCTGCGACAGGACGAGGCCATTTGTATCGCTTGAGTCAGGCTGACGATTAGTGAGGAAAAGATGAGCTCGACAGATTTAATGGCGTTGGCCATGCGCATGGGTTTGGAAGGTGCGGAATTGAAAACTTGGATTGATGAGCGAGAAGCTCGAGCTCGTGAGGAAAGGGCGGCAGAAAGAGAGGCGAAGAAGGAACAAATGCAGTTGCAATTACAAGTCGAGGAGCAGGCCCAAAGGACGATCCAATTGCGCCTTCAACTGACTCAGACTGAAACCGCCAGAGAGCCTGTCGGGGCAGACATAGGTCGATCATCAAGGGTGTCTTCCAACGTCAATCCTCATAATTTATACCAGGATTTGATGAAAACCGGGATGACCTAGATGCGTACTTAAAAAGGTTCGAGAATGTGGCGACAGGGCAAGAGTGGCCTAGAGACAAGTGGGCCACGGCTCTGAGTTTGTGCCTAAGCGGAGAAGCGCTAAAAGTGTTTGGTCGCCTATCCCCTGAAGATGCACTTGATTACGAGAAAGTGAAACTGGCTCTATTTCAGCGATTTCGCTTCACAGCGGAAGGGTACCGTGAGAAGTTCCGGCACAGTAAGCCTCAAGAGGGAGAAACCGGCCGGCAGTACGCTGCACGATTAATGAGTTTTTTTCGACCGATGGGTGGAAATGTCGAAAGTAGACAAAGAATACGCGTCAGTTCGTGACCTGATTGTAGCTGAACAGTTCATCAGTAAGTGTCATGATCGAGTGGCGCTCTTTTTGCGTGAAAAGAATTGCCGTAAACTTGAAGAAATGGCTGAAGCGGCAGATCAGTTTTTAGAGGCACAGCGACAGTCTAACCTGCTTGTTTTCCGAGAAAAGGCTGAAACGGCATGGCTGTGAAAAGTGGGAGCACGACCTCAAAAACTTCAGTGCAATGTTTTGTTTGCAACAAAATCGGCCATAAAGCTCAGATTGTCGCGCTCGGACGAAGCAACCTTACTGTGGGCATTGTCGTAGGGCAGGACACGATACCCAAGTTTGCACCAAGAAACCCGCCACGTATAAAAGGCTTCATGTATATTGTCCGAAGAGAACTCTAAAGACAATGATAACGCATCCGGCGGCGGGCCCGAGAATAATGTGTCGGGGGCAGTAAACACGCAACAAATGGCAACGAAATATCAGATGCCAGTTCTCCAGGGTCTCCTATTTGGTAAGCCTGTCTCTGTTCTTCGGGATACAGGAAGTAACACGACGGTTGTGCGACGTTCCCTCGTGCCCGACGAAGTGCTGACAGGAGCTATGACGACAGTATTTTTAGCCGATGGGAGCAGAATAAAGTTCCCGAAGCAAAAGTGGAGATATTTTCGCCCTATTTTTCTGGTACGGTGATCGTTAAATGCATGACTTCCCCATTGTATGACGTCATCGTGGGAAACGTGCCAGGATCCCGTGATCCCAATGATCCAGATAGCAGGTGGAGCGAGGGACTGTCGGAAAGGAAGACGAAGTCTAAAAGGTCAAGCATTCCGTCGGCACGCGTGCAGTATTCGGCGCGAAATTTTAAAATGAATTTTCATGCCTGATTTTTCTCCACAAATAATCCTTTTTGATAGTAAAACATTTCGTAGTAGAGGTCTTAGAGTCTATCTTGTCGCTACAAAGCAAGTCATTATTCCTTTCTAGTGTCTCTTAAATGTACGGGCGTGTACAGCCCCGGCAACGCCTGTGTAGAGCACGTGAGCCATTGGTTTTTCCTCTGGGGCAAAAAACCTTGATGTAGTATCAGGCTCTGACGTGGCCAACCTGACAACTAGAACAGGTAATCTCCTGATACATCACTTAAGAGCCCAAAAGTGCCTCAAGCTTTTGCGCCGCCGGGCAAAAACTGGCTGCTCCCGTAGTGTACACAGACGTGGCAGCGCTTTTTCCTCCTGGCTACTATTTTTGTTTGGTCGGTGACAACTTTATGGGTATCCCGCCAGAGCTTTCACCGACCTTGCCTTAAGTCATCCATGTGTACGTGTGGATGCGAACGCCTTGCCTTGCTTCATCGCCACGTCACGGGCCTACTAAAAGGCCCAGAGTAGGTCGCCGACGCTGGGGCTGCACAAGGCAACTGCCGAACGCAGTGACGGAAAGGTTCTGGATTTAGCCCTTTGCGGGTCTTTTGTACAATACCAAACCACGTCAGTTAATGTGGCGACCTCAGTATGGCAGATTTTGCATATATTTGTCGGATATGCATAGGGGTAAAGTTTGTTGCACAGTGCATGAGGGGTTAGTGCGTCTGCAGCTGTCGTACGGCCACCACCTGTGTCCAGTTCATCTTGTCGCTGAGCGTCTGAAAGTGTTGGTTGAGCAGGTAGAAGGCGGTGGTGATTTCAGACATTTTTTCTCACTAGTGATTGCCGAATGAAAGATGTTACCAGCCGCTTTGGTTGGCCGCAAGATTATCAATTCATTCTATAGGAACGGTGACCCCATTATGGTGCTCAAAATACTTCAGGGACTCTTCCCAAAAACTCACATCTATGCCCTATGTTTTCCTTTCAGCCTTGATTTTATCGCAGCTATTTGTTGAGAAAGTTATCTCCTGGCTGAAATGCTCGACCTGGACATCTACACTCGTTGGGTACTAATTAGCACGGCCACATTTCTGCTTTCGTGGATGCTTTTATTTCGCCGATTGTTTGGGAGAAGCCGGCCTCCAGGTACCCGGCTACCTCCCTCAGTTCCTGGCGCCTCTATCACTGGACACCACGAGATGCACAAATATGACTTTTTCTGCACTGCGGCCATGAAGTGGGCGAGGCAATATGGGCCTGTCTACAGGTATTGAACTCTATAAACATAACTACGCATTCATATTTTCACCCCATTAGGCTGCAATAAAAAAGGGAGAAATAAAGATCACATGGTACGACGGACTGCTTCAAACTGTCGCTTACCAAAACACATAATGCCGAAAATAAAAAATTATCCTTGCGCTCTGTACGTATGCTCCTTATCTTATCCACGTTTTTTCGCTGCACTCTGCGGTAACGCAGTATAAACTCCCCTAGCGAGCCCCTGTTCTGGAGCTTCATTTGATGTTCATTTGACTTCATTTCAATAATGAAATAAATGTCTATTTTCTTAATAGCTTTAGGCTAGATCCAGACAATGGGAGATATTTGGTGCATCACGCCGGAACAGCAAATACTGAAAGTACTGTGTATTGGTGTAAATGTTCGCTAAGCTTTCACCGTGACTTTTTCGAAAGCTCAATGCATGAAAAGACTGCAAGAAGAAAACATCTTAATGTTAGGATATAACAAGCAAGAGCTAGATTTGGCGCCCATGTGTGCCTAGTACTAAGAGCTACGCTGTCGTGGCGAAACGTTGCAGTTAATTTATCAAGAATTTGCGCCTGTAATGCAGTTGTCATGCCTGATAAGTAGAAGAAAGTTCCTGGATACTGGTGCTATATACGCTATGTTCTTATTGGTGATTTTTCTATGTAGGCACCGTTCGTCTGTGTATATATTTAACCATTGTGTATTTCCTAAAGATGACCCTAATGAGAAGAATTGAAGTTTGTGGCTCAAATGAGTTTTAGAAAATGCACAGAACAACCTCTCTACAAACTGCTCGTGTCGAGTACACTGAAGTTTACTCAACTAGCTGCATGTGTAAAGTTATCTTGCTGACGACAGGGACAGCAATTAACTTCAGTTTCGCTTCACTAGCTTAAGCATAAGTTGTCACTTTTGTTTCACACAGATTAAGGCAGAACTTTGCAAGCATCGTGATTCTCAACGATTTTGATAGCATCAAAAAGTTCTATTCGAGAAAGGAGTTTCTCAACCGTTCCCGGTTCTGGGTCATGAAATCCGATCGGTACGAAGGTACGTACTCTAAACAGATACATGCCTGCACTCAGCTCTATTGAAGTGACGACGAACTTTGGGAAGAAACGTTAAACCACACTATAGTACTAGCTCAATTGAACTTTATCAGTGGAGCTTGATATCGCTAAGATACGGGATGTCGTGATGTTAGCGAGAAATACATCCAGTTCCTTCGAATTCGTTTCTTTTGGAGCACGGTAAACGCAATCACCCGCCATCTCACCTCCCTGCGGAGGAACACCTGCGAGTCTAAGCAAAAGGGAAGAGATTTTAAAATAATCAAGAAAAGTAGCAAGGGCAGTCCGTTTTGACAAAGAGACGAGTGGCAGTTTTCTCGAAAAACGCTCTACGACCAAAGCATTAGTGCTTAAAAGTGAACCCGGCTTCTAGGGCATTGAACATTGTTTGGAAATTTAGTAATGAAGAAGCCAACTCAAGAAGTCGCGCAAGGCTGAGCAGCAATAGAGCTGACGAACAGCTGCGTGTTCATGGCTTGGCAAGACTTTTATCTTCTCAATACTTGCTGTTTATTTTTTTATGCCTGAATCTCCTTCTTTCCATCTCAATGGTTCTCTGTGCATTTTTTCTGTAGTTTTATTTTTATCTCAATCTTCCCTCTCTTTCTCTCCATTTTTTAATTTTTGCTATGCCTTTCTCACTTTCGCAGTCGGCATTGTCGCCCATTTTATCATTTTCTATATGTGTACAACGTTCTTTCTATGTATTTTTTCCTTTAATGTATTTAATGTCATCCGCTCCTGTCCCTTTTACTCATCCTTGCTATATTATGCTCAACAGGGCTATGCTTTCTTCTGCTAGCGTGTAGGAATAGTCGAGTGCTTACGACGATTGCCTTCGAATTGTTTGTAAGGGGGTACGAATCTCACCTAGCAAAAAATTTCGCTCTCCCAAATCTACTTTTTCATTTCTGTCACTCTCTTGGTGTGTGTGTGTGTGTGTGTGTGTGTGTGTGTGTGTGTGTGTGTGTGTGTGTGTGTATGTATTTGTAGTCGTTCTCTCGAACGTTGGAGTTATTGGATGTCACATCGTACAAGAGACAGAGATGCAGAAGAGCACGAAAATCAAGGAGTAGGCGAATAGAGCACGTCCTGCCTCATGATTAGAATAATTTTGTGCGTGCTCTGCGAGGAATTGTCACGTAACGTCCGCCTCGAAGGCGGCTTCGTCAATGTGCCATGGTTGACAATACAGTGGAGTTTTGACAATAATGATAACGTTCACAGCACGGTCTTTCGACAAGGTCACCACCGGTATGTACCCTTTGTTTCATGGGGCGGAAAGTTTCAGCGTCAATTCGCTTTTAGAGAGTGGAATGTGACTTGCAGTTGTTGCATCATATGCTGTTGTGAGCTCCAAACAACAGTCAAATTTCAGTGGCCGCACGTCATCCACCGCAGTCTAAGTGCATATCGCGCATATTAGAAAATGTTCTCGATAAACTCACTGTGTTTTAAAGATTGATCTGGATCTGTAGCACGCGTTACGGACCTGAGAAGTTTTTTTTGAAGCTGGTTGGCATTGGAGTCAATGTTTTTCAATTTAAATTGTTTTTTGAAGACTGCAGTTGCCTACTTTAGCACATACAAGTGCATATTTTATACCCTCTTTTCAAACGTTGACAAAAAAGAGGAAATAGCAAAAAGGTAAACGAGCGAACGAGGGGAAACGAGAGGTCATCGCATGGCAATACTTGAGTAAGGAAGAACGCGAAAACAGTTACTAAGCGAAGACGATTAAGTTGGTGTTTAGGGGATTAGAGATGCAAGCACCAAAAAGGAGGCCATTTTTTCAAGTGAATATGGTGTAGAAAGTTAGTACCAGCTGGTGCACCAACTGGATAACCATTTATAAGTGAAGGACGTCAGCTGGGGTTCCTGTCGTGCCACCCCATTAGGAAGCTACATCGAGAAAAAAAATAATAAGTACAAACAAGGCACAGACTGCGTGCAGAGACGATGTCTTCCGTCCGTCCCTGCCAGAGCCAGCTCCGGGAGACGGAAAGTTCACTCCAAACTTGTGTTCAATGGTTGCTGCAGCCGCGGCCACGAGGAGAAAGGCCTCTGAAGCTCTAGTTTTCGACTCTTGCTGCTGCTGAGCAGAGCAAGCTTTCCTTATCAAGTTACCAAGAATCCCTGACCCCTTGCTAATTCCGCTATGCAATGAATATTCAAATCCTAGACAAACCGAACCCGGATTGCCTTAATTGCAGGTAATTAGAGTAATTAATATTGCATACCATTATCGAATACCAGCACCTGCAACTTTTTAAAAACCCTATACAGGTTTCAGGTCGGTCTAAGGGTTGCTTTAGAGGTGCATTATTGCGCTGACAAAAGCACAGAATCTCGTCAAGCGTCAATGCGAGCCGCATAAAGAAAAATGTGTTATGTTTGCAAAATCATTCAAAAGCGCTCATCAATACTTCATCAGAATAGTCATCATGATCGACCATAATGTCACGGGGCTGAATAGGTGCAGTGATTATGCTACACATACCCACCAGTACGTCTCTATCTTCTTATTGATAGTCTGTTTCTTCTGGCTTGGCAAAAGTATTTGTAAGAGGCATCTTTCAATGTAAAAGGCAAATTAGACAACGTGAAGCTTTTCATAACTTCTTTTTAGTTTTAGGTTCATGGTAAAGTCACACTTTATTGTCCATTCTTTTGTTGCAGAACATTTCGCCCTTGCAGTTTTTTTTTCAGAAGATACAAAACATTGTAAGGCCATTCAACTACCGCGGATCAGGAAATTAAAACTTCCAGTAGGGGTGAATCATAAGAGTTGCTCGATATGTGGTATATAGTTTAATTCAACAAACAAGTGCAAACGTGTAAAAGCGCTCTAGAAAGTTGCCAACAGACCATTGTTAGTAATAAAAAAAGCACAACCTTGACAAGGTGAACGCGTAACGTGGTACACATGCTGTTCACGCTCAAGGAACACGTCTGTAATTCAGTAAACCATCCAATTTGCTTCTTTGACGCTGGGTGTCATTTTAATGATGACACCAAAAGCACATTTGATATATCTAAGTGAATTCGGACAGACCTTGGGTTATACCTTGCCTAAATTTGCCTTACAAGTAACCAGTGCCGCACCACGGAAGCATCCTATGATGACACTCATGCCCACCTAAAAGCTAGAAATAAATCGAGAGTGCCCACGGGAGCAAAGACACTCAATAGAGAGGTCCACGATTGAACTGGCTAAAAATGTGAATGCTAGCGCTCCTGATTACTTTGTGTAAGTGGCGAAATTTTACGAAATATTTTTAACACGAAAGTGTTTTATGCCGGAGACCACCACACTGACGTCCTTTGATCACAAAAACGAAGTTGGAAATGGAAATACTAAGACAAAAATTGCATTTTTTTTTGCTTGTCATGCAAAAATGAAGTGCACGACAAGCATCCGTTGCGTGGAATTAGAACAGAAACCTCAAGATTTTCAGTGCGCGGCGCTCAACACTACGCCACAGAACGTACGTACGTTGGCTGATATGCTAACGGCGAAAAATTCACACACGCCATCAAGCCATTTGGCTGTCCTGAGTGCTTCCGAAATTTCGCGCGCTTTCTTTATCAGTGTCGAGATGGCGTGACAGGCTTGCGTTGGGCACTCTAAATGGCGTAGTGTCTATACGAAGCACTGCATCTACGGAAGCGTGGTTTCATCTGCGCGCCCAGTTACCAGACTCGTCATTCGTGAAAGGACGAAGGTCACTTCACTCGGTGCCGGGGCCGCGCTTACGAAAGGCGCGCGCTGCTGACGCAGAACGCAGGAATCGTGACAATTGTTCGTACTTGTCTTGTGAACTCTTGTGCGCTTGTTTTTTGCGTCTTTCTTTCTGTTTGAATAGCGCGCTTTAGGTGTCGAGCTGTGACACTTTAGTCGGCGCTCGTCATGTGAATGCTGATTTCGTGCGTGCTTTCTGCTTGAGGTGCGCGCTGCTTGCCATTCATAACTTCACTTTGCGATTTGTTGTTGTTGCTGAAGAAATGCACAATAAACGCTCAACTATCTCTATAAAGATTCGTTTAACTTTCGTGTGATACCAATCTTTGTATAAGGAGATCAGTCATGTTTATTTTCTGTTAATTTTCTGAGAACTTGCATTTCTGGTACTCTTAGAGACACGAATCGTGATTTATTTTTATAAGAAACATTTTTATTTAAAACTTTGCGTACTTCTTCATCAATCTGCTAGGCGTTTAAATAACTTGAATGCACCAAGTCATCGCACAGGTGTTTAAACGGCCTGGTATATGAAGGTGCAACTTGTGCTAGTAAATAATTTTGAGGTAGTTATCGCTTTAACTTTAGTTATTCCCTGCAACAAATAACGTTTTAGTAATTAAACATGGGTTTAGGGAGGTCACACCGGCGCGCCTAATGTCGTTTTCCAGTATGAAAGATCAACAAACGTAGAACTTTATATTGTTAACATGTGCCTAAAGAGTTTTATACCGTTGACTAATGATCTGTAGTGATAACTGTTGTTTAAACTTTTCCAGACACATGCTATAATTCAGCTTTTCATGTTACCTTGTTTCTATTCTGTTTGTTTCAATCAGACTAGTCGTTTTTTTTCCTTTTTGTATTGGCAGAATTCTGACTGTTCTTTTTTGTTTCTGATATCTCCCCTTCATATAGGGCTCGCCACTATGAATGGGACAATATGGAACCTCAACCGAAGATTCTGCTTGCATGCACTCCGTGATTTCGGCATGGGCAAGTCCTACGCAATGGAGGATATAGTGGTTTGTTGAGTGCACGGCCTTCTACAAAAATACGCCCAAATAATTAGGTTAATTCACTGCTTAGCCTAGCAAAGTTTTAATTGAAGCATATTTGCTTCATGAGAAATATCCGCATAGAGATAATTGCTCTTTGTGAACCGTTTTCAGGTTTATAGAAGAAATGAACATACTTATGCGCAGCCTTGCAATCGTTTTGCGGCGATCGCATATGCCGGTGCAACTCAGTGCAAAGTCACTGAAGAAAATAATTCTAGCAGATCTCGAATACTTTAAGAGTCGATTATATGCCAAGTACTAGGTAAGTAGGAGTTATACCGTATTTTTACGGTGAAAGCTCTATACAGCAAGGCGAAACAAAACTCCGTTCGGTGCCCCCGTGCTTACCCTATACATTAACTGCGCCACCTGTTAAATCGTTCTCTACGTCGTACCTTTAAAGAAAAGTAGTTTTCGGTGAAGAAACAAGGGGGAACGTCGTTCATCTTTCACAACTTATTCTTCTTGTTTTAGAGTGCTTGCCTGCACGTGCTTCATACCCGATCTTTTTCAACATACTCTCGCCTTTAGTAGAGTAGCAAAAATCAACCTTGAAGAATGGGTGTACGGTCCTCCTAAAAATTATGAGTTTTTTTAGCTTTCCATCATCAAGCTCAAATGATTTCATCTCAACTGGGATCCACGTTTGTGATTTGACTTGGAAACCGTACCCTTATAAAGATGTCGGACTGCTCGATGATCGCCACATTATTCACTTGGAGACTAAGGCTAGGATGTGCCAAGCAAAGGTGAAGCGCGTGAAGTTCCCGTAGGTATTGTTTTTTGCCCCGGATCTACCGGTGATATATCAGCTTCAGACGGTAGCTCAGCTTCTTATGGCCCTTTTGTGTAGCATGAGGACTTTGAGCTTCGTAGTTGTTCGATCGCTCCATAGAAACCAATGACGAATGTCTAGTGTTTTTATAAGTAGAGTTCAGCTGTGTTAGAATAACAATCAGGTCATCCTCCAACAGTGCACTCAAAGTTTGTCCACCCTTGAGTGCCTATTTCTGATAATCTCGTCGGATTAAGACTTGAGTGATCGCATGAGTATCGCACGGCATTCGTCCCACCAAGGCACACCAATTAAAACAAACTTCCGCTGTCTCCAGCGCGTCGAAAAGAACAATGCCAATAGGAGCTCTTCATAATATTCCGATGTTCTGTAAAGCTCTGGATGATGTTTTAATATGAGTGCATTTTAGAGCTCACTGTAATTGGCACCTTTTCTAAGCCAAAAACCTCCAGACAGCCGCAAAGATTGCGTCTATAGTGATGCCGCTCCTTAAATCACGGTGAACTGCTGTCGTAGGTAAACATGTTACATCAGTCTTCAGGCTGACATCGACAAACATATGAAGCTCCGGATTGAGGCTCACCTTTCGTCAAGGCAGTCTTGAGAGATGTGGTGCCTTGAGTGCCTGACGATTAGTCGAACGTAAGTTCGAACTGCTTCATTGTAGGAGTTTCTTTTGTATCTTCTGCAGATTAAATGACGCCCACTGCTTCAAGCTGTCGAAACAAATGAGGATCTGCGAGATTGTGTTGTTGCCGCAAAATATTTCTACTCGCAAAACACCGACCACAAAGGTTGTGGTGCAGTTAAAGCAGGCATTCTGATGACTTCGTCCTTGCATTGCTTATCCAAGTGCAGTGCTGATTGTGACAAACCCTGGAATTTTCTGCTTGTTATTACTTCTACAGTCGTTATTTTTTACAACTGGTCAGCTCGAATCACAAAGCTGATGCTGGTCTCTGATGCACCACAAAAGATTTCTTTTTCTCAGCAATGTCTTGGCCCTGGAAACGCAACTGCTTGAAGATGAGGCTATAAGGTGTCGGCGAATGGATGTGCTCACTGATAACTGAGATGATTATTGCCCAAACGATGATGATATTGGAAGACAATTGGCTCATCAGGAAAATCGAATGACCCTTCACTTTTCCGCCGAGGCCTGGACTTTGTTGCCACACGTGTTGAATGCAGCCTTTGTGTCTTCCGGTACCTTCGATTGTAGTTTGGTGGCGAGGTTTTGTGACGAAAGATCGCTGACTGCATCTGCCAAGGATTTCTCGGACGTACTTTCACCTGCTTTGTTGATGACGAAACAGAGAAATCTCTGCATGTATTCTTTGCTGTCGTTTCTATCACTCTTGCTCGGTGTATCCTTGTCGCACAGTGCCACACACTTCGGGTGAGGGCCCACTGATCCAACATCCACGTGCGGTAGACTCACAGACTTCCACTTTACGCTTCGGCTTGCGATGCTTGAAATGCCTCGAAGTGGCAAAACTCAAATTTATTTGCAGGTCAGTCGAACCGTGCCGGTTTGCACGTGTGGTAAGGTATAAGCCTCACCGACGCATTCGTAAAGCATACACGGGGATTTCATACAAATCAAACAAGCCTTTATTTACACAAGGGCAAAGACAGGAGTTAAAAGAAATTAAGAGGCATAAGACTGATACTCGATGAAAAAGAACAACAAAGCAAACTATGCTCTAAAAGAACACTACAAGAAGTACAGACAAAGGACAAATACATGAAATAGTAATAAATTATTGACATGATGGAAATTGAAGGAGATACAAGAAAAATTCCATGAAAACGATCAGGTTCGCGTTTCACAACATCTACGGGGGCCGCAGCGCACACAACTACAATTATTGAAAGACTGGGAGTAATACAATTACAATTTAGAAAAAGTCCCAATAAGAAGTTGCATACGGACCAGGCCAGCTCTTGGTTCAATAGGGGAGTTTACGGGGTGTCGCCTGAAGATTTAGCTAGCTTAGTAGATGACGAGGGTGCCGATATTGCAGCCCTCTCAATACGTTGTGCGGGTCACTCCATGCTCGCCGAGCAAGAAGTGTGGTCGTCGGTGACTCGCGTCACCGACGACCGCAATTCTTGCTGGCTGCTCGTCAGCTGCCAATCCCGAAGAAGTCAAAACTTTCTCACAGCGTATGCGTGTTTCGTATTCCTCTAGAGACTGATTTCATTTTCCCCGACCCCGAACACATGTGTGTCCCATTCAAAAGAGGTGTAGGGAAGAAGTGGCGGCGCTGCTGCTGCGTCGTTAGTCGCCGGATGTCGTCCTCCCAACAGAAAAGCACACTTCATTGGACGATGGAGCGTACGAGCGAGACAAAGATTGCAGACGTTTGTGATATAGCCCCCTCCTAGAGAATATTGCTGCGTAATATTTAAGGAAATCACAAACGCGCACTGTTCGAGAGCTCTCGGTGTTCTAGTCGTCCACCATTGTGCTTTCCTTTATTTTTTTCGCGCACCATTTCACTGACATATACAACACTGCAGACGCACCGCACTTCACTGTCACACCAAGACGAAAGGCATATCGGGAACTAGGCCGTAGCTACACACATAAAAAATTAAAATGACAAGAATGGTGCACAGTTCAAAGCTAAGGCACGTAAACTCCCTTCGCTGACAATATATTTAAACATACATGCTGTAAGCGTTATACAAATATCAAATATTGAGATGCCTTAAACAGAATAAACGAAAACAAATCTTAAGTCTAGATTCAATTTGTGCGCATGCCTAGCACTAGTTCCACATCATTGCGCCTCATTAAATAATTGAAACTAAAAGCTTTGAAGAATATATCGCCATATTCAGCTCACAGGCGTGCCGTGATATACCTCGAACACAGAAGTACCTTGACGAGAGTCTCTCAAAGAAGTCTAGCACTTGCAAACGTAAGTCAGCTAAAGCTTCTAAAGCAAAGATTTTCCTAACTGAACGGGTAAAAAGTTTAAACAATGGAACATAGTCAACAAACACACAGATGACACAATGCAATCAATAGAATAGCTAAGCGATTGGTCCCCACATTGATCAAATGCTTCAAAATTGAAAGACAGAATTGAACATTGTTTCGAAAGATATGTCCTTTGTTTTCAAGCTTACGTTGACGTTTCTATGTACGCAACTTTTATCCGCGCTTGAGGTGGTCGGGCTCTAGATGGGGCCGTTCACAGCATCCAGGGAAAAGAAAACACTGGAGGGTTGTCATAACTAGGGTTGTGTCACGCCAGTTTGCCCTTGGGTAGCTTGCCGTCATTGACCCCACGTTTTGTGGGGATGGGTCTCCCGACCACGTCGTACCGCTCTGTCAAAAGATGCTTCCCCTCCTCTGCCAACCATTCGGTAAACCACACAGGGAGAAGACGAGGAATGTCTATGCGCTGCGCCGCTGCAACACTGCGCCCCTGCAACACTTGCATCCCTAACCCTTGTGCATTTCGCATGGCCATGCGCAAGTTGGCATGTTTTTCTTAATGCAGCAAAAAGAAAACGCGCCTTTCGTTGCGCCCTGTCACGTTTGAAGCCCTCTTTTCCATGGGCTTTCTTTGTTTTCTTGCACCATTTGACATTCCTTTCTCCTTGCAGCGTCTCTTTTTTTGGCACATATTCCTGTGCTCTCTTTGGCAACATCGACTAGCATTAGCTGCGCGGGGCAAGACTCATAGTTTTCAACTGCTGCATGGTCTACACAGCCGGAATTTCTCCTTATTCGCCGACAACATGGCCTGTGGGCAGCTTAACTGAGTGATGAACAATACAAGTGGCCTCCTCAGGGCTGCGCCACTCGCACCTATAGGAACCACCTGCTACAACATTGCCCAGCCCACAGCGTGCGTCCGCACACAACTTTGCCCCAATGTCTGTGCAGGAGTCCTCACCTGTCGGGCCTGTTGTACTGCGAACATCGCAGTTAGCTGCCATAACGACGAACGTACTCGGTGACTGTGCCAGGTCAACTACACGTCGCCTTTCTGTATTAACAGGACTCTGCCGGCACAGCACCTCGTCGCCATTATTGCAACCTTCAGTGGCCTCTGTGGCCATCACAGTACTTTTGGCAGTTAACACGCCTAGTTCTGACATGAACGGGCTGTCCGCACCACACGTCCTTGTCCGGCTCTTAAAAGTT